TTATCTAAGGTTATCTAAGGTTTCTTAGATTTACTCGATAAAATATTTGTAAATTTTCATCCAATCCAATGGCAATTTCAATTTTAATTAGGGATTGAAATATTTTTTCGTGGAATTGACGATTATTAGTAATATCATAATTAATATTAATATTTATGAATTTTCATCCATAAATATTTTATTAATATTAAAAAAAAAACTCTCAGCACGACATGATTTTCAACATTACCAACAATATTTTTTGATAAATTTACCTACCTCAGTAAATAAATATTTAGGAATTTTAAGACGGTAAAGGTAATGATGTAAGATTCCAAAGCATAGCTTTTCTAATATTTTCCAACCTTGATATGAATTCTTTGTTGACGCCTTTGACTGATGTTCATTGACCTAAATTGTTACAAAAGCCGATTCTGTAACGCTTACATATGCGTGGTATTCATTTAATTAACAAAATAAAAGTTTTTCTTTGGTATTTATCTTGAAAAAATCCATAGAGCTTTGTAGATGGCCAGGCACGAATTGTTACTAATATAAATGTTGCGAAAATTGCGAATATTTTAACGTCGTCGTCACTCCTGTAGCTTAGCTCTATAGTTTTAATATTGGCGACACGTTTGGCTCCGTATGTAGTGATCCTACTTGCTGTGCCAGCGGTCGCGGGTTTGAGTCCCGCTGGAGGCATTCATTTGTGTGATGAGCACGAATATTCTCGTAGTACTCTAGTCATGGGTGTTTATTTATATTAATAATATTTGGGGGTCAAAGTTGCTCGCGTCCGTAGGTCATACCGAAAGCAGGTCCAGATCCTCGATACCCTACACGTGACCCCTGGGTGGTGCTAATTGAGCAACATTAAAACAGGTGGTAGGCTTCGGCCGTGGCTAACACCACCCAGCGAACAAAGACGAACCGCTAAATGGCACATCCTGTGGCACGATTTGCCGCGTCATAGGTTGGGTCGTGTTCCGGTGCGATGTTCGCTGCAGCCATTCATGCACGGGGAAATGGGTCTGTACAGTTGTGTTGCACTTTAATGACAGGTTCTGACCTGAGTTGTGGCGGTGCCGGAAGGCTCAATTTGGAGAGCAGCGGGATCCGAAGCACGGTGCACCGCTGGCCGACCGCAGGTAGTTGGGGGCCCAATTAGTAGGTTCGCCACCTATGAAAGGCTGCCCCGCCACCTTTGGCGAAAAATCCTGGGATGGCTTCCATCGTGCCGGTTGGCGACCGGAGAGAGGACCCGATGGCAATTTCCAGGGGGGTTCGGGCGTCCCCGCGGTCTCCAGTTGAGTCTACCATCAGCACTGCTATGATTAGGGTCATGGCGTCATGAATGCAGCATCTCGTACAACTGTCATTTCCCCATAATTATTCACTCCCTAAGCCCAAATGAAAAAAAGTAAAAAGAGAAATAGTTTTAAACAGCGGCTGCACCTCCTCTCTTTTTCAGTGCACCTCTCTAACATTCGAGGATTGCACTCTAATCTCTATGCGGTCCACCACCACCTCGAGACCGCTAAGCCGCATTTACTCTTTCTCACGGAGACGCAAATTCACAGCCCAGCGGATGTAGCATATCTTGAGTACCCCGGGTATTCTCTTGAGCATAATTTTAAAGCTCGGGCAGGGGTCTGCTTGTACGCTTGTAGTAACATCTGCTACCAACGTCTTCGTAATTTGGAGGTACCAAACTTCTCGGTTCTGTGGTGCTTGGTTGACACAGGTTTCGAGCGAACAGTTTATGCATGCGTTTATCGTTCACATAGCGGTGACCGGGAGACGACTCAGTTGTTTAATTACCTAAGCGAAAAAGCTGACATCGTCCAACATCGATATCCAACCGCTCAACTGGTATTTCTGGGAGACTTTAATGCCCACCACCAGGAGTGGCTGTTCCCATTCTTAAAAACTGATCATGCTGGGAGAGAGGCGCGCAATTTCGCACTATCGCTAGATCTCTCTCAGTTAGTTCAGGAAGCCACTCGGATACCGGATGTTGATGGACACACACCCAACTGCTTGGACCTTCTGTTAACAACTGATCCTGATAGGTTCTCGGTCTCAGTTTCGTCCCCCTTGGGAACCTCAGACCACTGTCTAGTGAAATCTGTATCCAACTTTTACCCTCCTGCTCCAGACTCCTCAGTAAAGAGGCGGGTGTGGCGATACAGTTCAGCAGATTGGGACGAGATGCGGCACTTCTTTGCATCTTACCCTTGGCGGCAAGTTTGTTTCTCTACCAACGATCCGTCGAGCAGTGAGAGTGCTATATCGGATGTGATACGCCAGGCAATGGAATATTTTATACCATTTTCTGACGTTTCGCCCGATGGCAAGACACCTCCGTGGTACAACGCTGAGTGCGCTGCTGCAGAAGCCCGTAAGCAATCGGCGTTTGTAGCATGGGCGGACGCACGTGCTCTCAATGCACCGGACGTAAAGACGAAAAAAAGAGAATTCAATATTGCCACCAAGTCCTACAAGAGGGTCCTGGGAAAAGCTCGTTTCAACCGAACTAACCGCATCGGGCGTAAGTTAGCCACACACCCTAGTGGTAATAAAGCTTTCTGGTCCCTCGCAAAGTCGGTTGAAGCGAACTTCTGCCGTTCTTCGCTGCCGCCTCTGCAGAAATCTGATGGATCACTGGCTGTCTCTGCAACTGACAAGGCTAATCTTCTAGCGTCTCTATTTGCAGAAAACACACGTCTCAATGCTGGAAACAAATTATCACCCACTCTTTCAACATGCGACTCCTTTATGCCAGAGATACGCATACACCAGCAAGAGGTCCTAAAAACTCTTCGTAACCTCGACGTGAACAAAGCCAGTGGCCCTGACGGTATACCTGCAGTTGTCTTGCGGAATTGTGCCCCTGAGTTGTCTCCTGTACTAACTCGTTTGTTTCGCCTCTCTCTTGCAACTGCTCAAGTCCCCAAATCGTGGAAAGTTGCAAATGTGCAACCAGTACCAAAAAAGGGGTGTCGTGCTGACCCGGCCAATTATAGACCAATTGCGATCACGTCCATCCTTTGTAAAAGTATGGAACGTGTGGTCAATAATAAGCTCTTAGCATACCTGGAAGAAAATGATCTCCTGTCCGACCACCAGTACGGCTTTCGGAAAAACCGGTCTACTGGGGATCTTCTAGTGTATGCCACACATACTTGGGGTGAAGCCATTGAAAAACACGGTGAGGCACTCGCCGTGTCTCTCGATATTTCGAAGGCTTTTGATCGGGTCTGGCATGACAGTCTTCTCAGTAAGCTTCCGGCATATGGGATACCCACTGGCTTTTGTAGCTGGATATCTGATTTCCTGAGCGAGAGGTCATTTAGGGTGGTCGTTGACGGCTGCTCATCTGACCTAATGGCTGTCAATGCCGGTGTTCCTCAGGGATCTGTTCTGTCCGCAACACTCTTCCTGCTGCACATCAACGATCTTCTAAAACCCGGTATCTTTGGGTACGCTGATGACAGCACTGTTACGGATAGATACTTGTCCAGTTCTAAAGCCAGTGCTTCTGAGATCCTTGAGCAAAGAGAGGCCTTGGTGAATCGCATTGACTTAACTCTGAAGGAGGTGTCCAAATGGGGTGACGCCAATTTAGTTAAGTTTAATGCCACCAAAACACAAGCGTGTTTATTTACCGCAAAAAGGAGCCCCTTTACCTTGGCTCCCACTTTCCAAAATGTATCCATCCCGATAAGCGACCATATTGAGCTCTTGGGCATAGACATCTCACCCAATCTCAATTTCGGGAAATGCATCGAGTCAAAGGCGAAAACAGCAGCCAAAAAACTTGGTATCCTGAACAAGGTGAAGCGGTACTTCACACCCGAGCAGCGCCTGACTCTCTATCAGGCTCAAGTGCGCTCAGCTATGGAGTACTGCTGCCACCTCTGGGATGGCTCTGCCAAGTATCAACTCGATGCATTAGACTCGATAGATCGCCGAGCTCGCCGTATTATAGGTGATCAAGCACTAACGCAGACGAAACTGCTTAGTCTACAGCATCGACGCAATGTCGCCTGTCTATCGATCTTCTATCGGATATACTTTGGGGAGTGCGCGCAGGAACTTCACAACCTTGTGCCCCGTTCACCGTTTTACCACAGAACTGCGAGAAGTCGTGAGCGCTGGCATCCTTATGTGGTAGAAATCCAACCAACTCGCACGAAACGCTTTAGTTCTACGTTTCTGAAACGAACCGCTAAGGAGTGGAACACCCTTCCAGCATTCGTGTTTCCTGCCACTTATAATCTAAGTACTTTCAAGGCAAGAGTGAATAGGCATTTTCTAGGCAAGCGCGCTCCAACCTAGACCTCATCAGTGCTTCCCAACGCTGATTGTAGTCAAGCGCAATCCTATCGTACAATAAAAAAAAAAAAAATATTTATGTATTTAAAGTTATATATGTGTAGTGTATCAACTATCTGGTATCCATAACACAGGCTTCCTAGCTTACCATGGAACTAGATGGTGCTATGTGTTAATGTCCCAACATATTTATTAATATGGTTTAGGTTTACCATAATGTACAAAATAATATAACCATTTCAGTAATTTTCAATAATATATAATAGTACAAATGTCAAAGGTCCTGACGAACTACGCACGACTCCCATGAAATGGCGAAACCGCTGCGAATAAACGAGAAAACTTTTACTATCTCCTATGAAGTTTACTTGAAGGCTGAAACAAATAATGAGTCTCATATAACTATATAATATATAAAGAGATATATGTCGTGTTGTGTATTTGTTCATATATCAAAGTTTCTACAGTAATACATTTAATTTTATAGCTATAAGTTACTGTATTAAGAATTATGTTCTTATGTTCGCACATGAGAATATTAGAACTGCGAGACGTGGGATTTGAACCCGCTTCACTTGGTTTCCTAAGCGAGCGCGCTACCACTAGGCTGCCATTACTTCATAAAATATATTAGGTATATAAATAAAAGTAGAATATTAAGTTAATAGTGTTTGTTCCAGCAAGTGACGTACTACGTGATTCGCATGGCGTTGCTCGTATCTTGGTTCTGGGCGGCCGCGTTGACGTGCGCGCCCGTGCTGGGCGTGGGCCTGTACTGGGACGAGGCGACCCACTGCTGCACGCGCTACCGGAACGCCGTCTCCGGGCTCGACTTTGGATATGCCGTGTTTTATGTTATTTTTGGTAAGCTTTTCTTTGTTAATACCTATAAATTTTTATGCGAATGAAATAGTAATGTCTGTGTTTGAAAATAATAGCTACTGATTTGAATTTATTTAATACTAGCATTGCCCGCGGCTCCGCCCGCGTTCAGATTACCAAAAACCAAATTCTTATGTTGTACGTATTAGTAATTAGTATACTCTTACAATGCAGTTTTTATATTTTTTCTGAGAAATGAGATATTTTCCCGCGGTAAATAGTATCTTATATGTTGACCCGGATAACCAACTATCATCATACCAAATTTCATCAAAATCCCTCCAATGGTTTTTCCGTGATGCGGTAACAGACAGACAGACAGACAGACAAAAATTCTAAAAACTATAGATTCGGCCTGTGTATCGATAATAAAGTCTATTTCAATAAGATTTTCCAAAAAATATTTAATGTACAGATTCCGCTTGGATAAAATTTTATTATATGTATAAATAGATGTTAATACAAATCGCAATCGTAAATTTTTTACTCTCATATTTTTTTTCCAAACGTCCCAAAAGAAGTTTAAATTCAAAATATCATATTAAAATAAAAGTTATCCATAGAAATATTGAATAAAGTATTTGTATCGTAAGTTTAGGTGATTTTATTGATATCGTGAACTCAGAGGGCATGACGTTTGTGCTTTACGAGAGGCTCGGCGCACTTGCCTCAATTACACTATGTAGTATGTATGTATTCAAGATAAGTGCTTAGGGTGTGGTATGACGAAATTGACTAAATACGAATAACACTGGCGAAGGTATATTTTTCAACCGACTTCAAAAAGGAGGAGGTTCTCAATTCGACTGTATGTTTTTTTTTATGTTTGTTACCTCAGAACTCTGTCATTGATTAACCGATTTGAACAATTTTTGTGTTGTTTGAAAGTGTATAATCAAATATATTCGAAGTCGGTGTGCTTTGGCTAAGTAATTAAAGCCTACCTATTAAATACATAATAATAATAATAATAATAATATTCTTTATTGTACACCAAAAATAAATATAAAATAAAAAAACAACACATAGAAAAGATGCACAGCAGGCGGCCTTATCGCTGGAAGCGATCTCTTCCAGGCAACCTTGAGGTGGAGGAGTAAATGTTCATAAAAACGGTAGGCGGTGTACTTGCTTTAACATGTTTACTATATATAAATACTTATAGATAAATAGATACATACATACATACATACATACATACATACATACATACATATATACATACATATATGATGATGATGATGATGTTCTCCTAGCCGATTCCGGCTACGGCGGCCAAACTCATTGAGATTAGCCAACTGCGCAGGAGATATTATAGTGCTCAAGTGTACGCGCAGACACAAGTGCACTCTCTATTCCTGTCACTCTCATACTCCGGTGGGACGACTGCTCGACACGACCAGTGAGAGTTAAGGCGCAGGACCGACGGCTTTACGTGCTCTCCGAGGCACGGGGGTGAAACACCGCCACCTTCCCAACTCCGGGCTGTTACTGAGACTTAATATACAGAAAGACTCAATAACTAAACTTGGCCCGACCTGGGACTCGAACCCAGGACCTCCGGGTGTGCAGCCGTACATGCTAGCCACTACACCACCGAGGCAGTTATACATACATACATACATACATATATACATACATACATACATACATACATACATACATACATACATACATACATACATACATACATACATTCATACATACCTACTTATATGCGTAAAATTTACACACACACATAAAAAACATACCTAATCAAATATTTTCGAACTCGGTGCCAGGCCATATAAAGCAAAGCACACCTATCGACTTCGAATATATTTGATTAGGTATGTATAGTAAATGAAAACTACCAATCAGTTATTTTTTACTTTTTAGTGCTTTTGTTTGAAGTCGGTTTTTATTTTTTTGTTAAAAAGTTTTTATCCCATTAAAATATGAGGATGTCAACAACCATAACGGTAAAACTTTCTTGACCTTGCATTCATTTCAACCAACGCACAAAACTTAGGCACGAGTAATAATAAACAATGTGAACGCACAAGATCTCTATACTGAAAATGAACCCTATAAAACTATCGGCCGACAGAAAGTCTGCAGTGTACGGGGCTTTTATAGTCACAGCTCTTAATATATATATTCAGTGCTGGATTTACATTAGGGGCACTCGGGGCTAGTGCCCAGGGCGGCAAATTTTTAGGGGCGGGAAAATTGGGAGGTTGGGAAAAAAAATATTCAAATCGAAAATCCTTTTTTTTATTTTCCAAAAAATGAATAGTTTAAAAAAATTACTAATATATTTTTGGATAAATTGAAATCATTTATAATTTTTTTTTTGCATTTAAAAAAAAATTAAAAAAAAACTTTATCGAATCTTTATTATTTTTATGACAAAATTTCAATAATAGGGTGGCATTTTTTTTTAAGATCAGGGCCGGCGCTAAAGTTGAATCCGGTCCTGCATATATTTCAACTTAGTTATTTACAATTTAGTTGTTTTTGTTGTTTTTCTTGAAAATACTATGAAATACAAGCTTATTTTCACTTCAAGTTAAATAGATAGTTGCACGCACAATAAAATTGTCGGCTTCATTCAAACTGCTATGTTTGAAGTTTTAGTTAGTTTGTAGTTGATACAGTTAAAAAGCCTTTTATTACAGGATCTTATCACTGCTGAAAATAGGTACAGTTCACAGTGCCTTTAAGACATTACACGAACCCGTGAGACACGAAATCTAATTTATGTTCAATGACTAATAGCGTGCAAACTGTAGATATCCGGCCGAGCTCACGTTCGTAGCTACGAGTTAAACAGCAGCTTCATATATACTACGATATAAATATTCAAAAACTACATCCGGTTGTTTGTTTTCTTCTCTAGGGTTATTTACACTCATAGAGTGTTTGCATTCTATGCGCCTTGAATTGAACGGCTCTACAATGTAGAGACACAACATTGACGGCTTTACTATCATACCTATACTTATGAATCAACTAGCATTGCCCACGGCTCCGCCCGCGTTCAGATGACCTAAAACCAAATTCTTAGGTTTTACATATTAGTATACTCTTACATTGCAGTTTTTGTATTTTTTCTCAGAAATGAGATATTTTCTCGCTGTAAAAAGTATCCTATTTGTTGACCCGGATAACCAGCTATCAATATATCAAATTTTATCAAAATCCCTCCAGTGGTTTTTCTGTGATGCGGTAACAGACAGACAGACAGACAGACAATTTTTTTAAAAACCATAGTTTCGGCCTCTGTATCTATAATAATGTTTATTTCAATAAGATTTTCCAAAAAATGTCTAATGTACAGAGTCGACTTAGTTACAATTTTATTATATTATGTAGGTATAGATTAATTATAAGCACAGTGCATGTAGTGTTTATTTGATTTAATTTTTTCATTACTTTTTTAATGCTTTTTTTAAGTTCAACGGCGTTTAGGGGTACTTACTTGCCACCTAACTTAGAAGCATTAGTGGCGAAACACTTAAAAAGGTTTTATATGTCGTTCAGTTTCACTCGATTAAAAAGGAAGAAAAATTTAGTTTTATGTTATGTAATTTTATATATCAAAAAAGGCAGTGGTAGCGCGCTCGCTTAGGAAATCGAGTGATGCGGGTTCAAATCCCGAGTCTCGCACCTCTGATATTTTCATGTGCGAATCATTTTCAACATGATTACTACTTGGCTTACGGTGAAGGAAAACATCGTGAGGAAACCTGCATGTCTGAGAGAACCTAGCAAGTTTTCGTAAGACATATGACGCACTTGGTCAGCGTGGTGGACTATGGCCTGATCACATAAAACGGTGACCTGTGCCCAGCAGTGGGACGTTAAAAAGAACTGAATACGATATAAAACAATATTTTCTATAGGGACAATGCTCTGCGCGATCCTGGTGTACTGCAACCTGGCGGTGATCCGGGCGCTGTACGCTATCACGGCGCCGCGGGGTAGTGGGCCGCCCGTGGTCCGCCGTGTGTCCAAGAGCAGCTGCCGGCAGCGCGGCAAAGCGGCGCACGCGCACCACAACGCCGCCACCGCCGAGGAGGTCGCCTTCAGCAGGCTGATGGCCACTCTCTCCGTGCTCTTCATGATCTGCTGGCTGCCGCAGATGGTAAGTACTTTAATTGTGGCTAGTTAGGTTCATTTTTATTATAGATTAAATCGGGCTACAATTATAAATTTGAAAGTTTGTTTATGTGTAGGTATATGTCTCTTACTTTTTGGCACTAAAATGGCCAAATGGATTTAGGTGAAATTTATTACACCTGGTGTTACCTGTTTAATACCACACACGACCTGGAGTAACACATAGGCTACTGTTAAACAAGCTAGGGACGTATCTAAGCGAAGTTGCCAGTACTTTGTTCTAACAAAGCTTTTATAGAATTTCGCGATTTTTTTTGCCTATGAAGTATACTTTCTTCTCTTTTTATGACAAGTGTGTCGTGTTAAACTTTTATCAATATAAAAATCATGAAAGAAACATAGACTAAGATTTAGATAATCAAGCAAAAACTTACACAACTACTCAATATAAAATATATCGGCGATTACTTCATAAGTATAAACTTTTGTGTAAAAGTAATTTTGTATGAATGTCCGGAGTGACCACACAGCATTACATTGCAAAAGCAAATGAAAAAGGATTTATTCAAAAATAAAATCATACGTTGGTAAATTTATAAAACCCTATGACCACACCCCTTATTTTTTACGTCATTTTCCATAACCACGTTTTGAGGGTTAGTACAAACATATATGATTTCCCGGATAAAAACTATCGTATGTCCTTCCCAAGATCTAACTAATTAATCAAAGAATAAACCATATAAAATCCATTTTAATAATTCAGTGCCAGTTAATTATGTTTCTGTACTTTCCAATTTGTTCTTTTTAATCAGATTATTAGAATAAAAATAAAAATACCCAAACTTTTGTTTGTTCCTAATACAAACAGTATGTAAATATGATAAAACAATTCTTACTGATAGTAATTTACATGTGGAGAAATTCAGTAAGAAATCAGAGTGTATGAACAATAAAGCTTCATAAAGCTTATAGATAAAGATAATAAATAAATATGTTGGGACATTAACACACAGCACCATCTAGTTCCATGGTAAGCACAAACCTTGTGTTATAGATACCAGATGGTTGATACACTATATAAATATAACTTTAAATACACAAACATTGTAAATATAAACAACCATGACTGGAGTACAAACATACATGATCATCACACAAATGAATGCCCCAGCGGGACTCGAACCCGCGACCGCTAGCACAGCAAGTAGGGTCACTACAAACTGAGCCAAACGTATCGTCAATAATGTATTGTGATTTCTGATGAGTGTCATCTCCACAATGACCGCCACACTGAGAGGTTCCTCATAAATTAAACTCCCAGAGCACGCGCGAGTAGATCAGTATCGACAGTAATGGCTGGCACATTGATATGCCGCGGCGGTCGCGCTGGTGTCAGATGCTAAAGTAACTCCATGTTTGACAACCTTGAAACTTGACAATAAAAGGGTGTGCCGATATGATGCAGTAATAATCTGTTATATCTTTAATCGTCTAATAGGTGATGGATTATACGAAATCTTTTTTTATTTATTTTTTAATTATATATTTACTAACCATTCATTCTTGCTATGCTCGGGTCCCTTCCCTATTTCCCTATCCCTTGGTGCCTAGCAGTAGTATCTGTTACTTCAGGTGTCAATCTAACTGTAAATTATATCGAAATAGCTTCAAACATTTCAGTATTAAGGAGAGAACAAACATACACACACATACCTACATATAAATTTTCTCATCAATAATACAGTCCGAATTCCGTTTACTAACATGTAACAACATCTAACTGTACTATATAAAATACTAGCGACTCACTCTCGCTTCGCTCAGGTTCGTCCCTAGGCGTTTAGAATGGAATAGATTTTTTTTTTCAATTTTTTTTCGTTTTTCCGATGTTCTAATAGTTATTCTGCTATTCGGGGTGAAGACAAATCCAACAAAACAAAGATCATAAAAATCGGTCCAACTGTTCTCGAGTTATAAGTGTTGTAACAAACCCGACTTTGTTTTATATATATATATATATATATATATATATATATATATAAATAAATAAATTGCCACAAATTAGCAAAAAAGATTGAGGAGGAAGATAAGAATATAATTAAAGAAATATTTGATGGGAAAATATAAAATTATGCATAAACTTTGTTGTTAAAAATGCCAGTCATTATAATATTATAATTAATGTTTTATTCATTCCTCTTCGTTATTATTTTAAAAAAGGCAATCGTACTAATTTAGCAAGGAAGTTTTATATTTTTGGGCAAGAATTTTAACGCCTCGAGGAATGCGGGGCACCGCGCACCGAGCATCTGTATTCCGCTCAGGATTGATGGCGAAGATATCACGGACTATTTTTATTTTTCAATCACCATCGGTGTACGTACAGACGGACGAATTTTTCATATTAAAAAAAATATTTAAAATTAAAAAGTCACTTTATGATGCGATCGCAATTGTATTTTAGTAAGCAAACATGTTATTTTTAATATAGTCGTCAAGAGTCAATATTAAAAAATGCTACTCTTATGCCTTATATGATTTCACCAACGTCACCTAAGTTTAAGGGATCCCCTAAGCATGGTTAGGGGGCTGTTAGGGGACAGTTTCTGTTTCACCGACAGTTAGGGGTCACCCAAAAAATTAAAAGGCCCCCTAAATTTAGGTGCTCGAAATATGGGCTTAAAGACGATCGTAAAACGAAATTTAATTTAGGGGCTAGTTTAGGGGAGTTTTAAGCTAGGGATCCCATACGTAGGTGGTAGGCTTATGGGTTTTGAAATCGGTGAATATGTTGGATTGGTGAAATCGGGCATTGATCTCCCAGCTGAAGCACTAAACCATCTCGATAAAACTTAACAGAGTGTTCACTTGCATTACTTGCTTTATTTAATATTTTCATGGACACTTACAGTTAGTTTCTAGTCTAATAGATATGCGAACAGTTCAAAAAACTAATAAATATGCAAACAACACCTTTATTAAATACTTAGTGCAAGTAGCGACTCACCCTCGCTCCGCTCGGATTCGTCCCTGCTTACATTTTAACGTTTAGTATAGATTTGTCAGAGCTTAGATATTTTCCTGCAGCAAAAAGTATTCTATACGTTTACTCGGATAACCAGCTATCATCATACCAAATTTCATCAAAATCGCTCCAGTGGGTTTTCCGTGATGCGGTCACAGACAGACAGATAGACAAAAATTCTAAAAACTATAGATTCGGCCTCCGTATCGATAATAATGTCTATTTCAATAAGATTTTCCAAAAAAATATTTAATGTATAAATTCGGCTTAGTTACAATTTTATTATATGTATAGATTACGTTTCCCTTTCAGATTCCCTTTAATAAAACAATTTAATCACATTATTTTACTAAAACGTATCGTAAAGCTCTTTAATAATACATTTTCATTAGTGATATGACAAAAATACGAAAACAACGTGAGGCGACATAAAATTAAGTCGTATGTATATGTAAGTTTGAACGCACCATAACAATTGTACTGATGCCACTCATTAGTATGCACAAACCGTTTTGATAGCAGCGAAAATATTTCATTGTTTCGATAAATGGTATTCGCATAATGTATACGATTATTCGCGAATTGTTCTCCAATGACAATTCTGGCGATTAAACTTATCTATTAGATGGCCTTACGCGGCGTGACGGCGGCGGTGCCCAGTTTAACGACGTCTTGTAGAATTACTCGTAAATCACTATTTCTAATCGAAACAATAGTGCTATATATCCATTGATCGTTTTGACTAAATTCTTGTCATGACACAGTATATGAAATTAAATAGGGGATTTGATTATAATATTATTAGAGAAAAAAATAAAGCCGAAATCTATACATATAATAAAATTCTAAGTAAGTCAAATCTGTACATTAAATATTTTTTGGAAAATCTTATTGAAATAAACATAATTATCGATACAGAGGCCGAATATATAGTTTTTAGAATTTTTGTCTGTCTGTCTGTCTGTCTGTTACCGCATCACAGAAAAACTACTGGAGGGATTTTGATGAAATTTAGTATGGTCATAGCTGGTTATCCGGGTCAACATATAGGATACTTTTTACCGCGAGAAAATATCTTATTTCTTAGAAAAATACAAAAACTGTAATGTAAGAGTATACTAATATGTAAAATCTAAGAATTTAGTTTTTGGTCATCTGAACGCCGGCAGAGCTGCAGGCAATGCTAGTCATAAATATAAAACTTATTTTTTACGCGCGATGTCCACGGATACGGTACATGCCTTCGGGGTAAGAGGTGTTTGTGTGTGTCTGTCACTATTTTTCCCGGAAACGGCTGGGCTGAGCATGTTTTAGCTAAGTTCTATAATGTTACAGACCGCAGAGTTTTTAGCATTTTTGTGCTATGTACAGACATTCGACCCCTACTGTTTTATTATAGTATAGATGTATCGCATTTACTATTAAAATTTAAAAAACCCACGACATTAAAGCGTAATATAGAATATTATTAAAAGCTGTCGTGTAATATTAAGTGGAATGTGCCAGTAGCTTTATTGTTAATTATTGTGCATTCTACGACACAGGTTTAACGCACGATGGCTATTAATAATCTATACTAGTCTATACTAATATTATCAATGTGAAAATTTGTGAGTATGGATGTATGGTTGTAGGTATGTTTGTTACTCTTTCACGCAAAAACAACTGAATGGATTTTGATGAAACTTTACAATAATATAGCTCATACATCAGAATAACACATAGGGTACAATTTATCCCGGAAAATGAACGTTTCCCGTGGGATAGATATGTTTATGTTTTACATTTTAATGTCGTAGGTTTTTGAAATTTATTATTTGAAGTTTTTTTCATGTCACAATTTTCCGCCGTGTGTTTTTTTAAATTTTATTTTATGTTAATCGTTGTTACCGCATTTACTCGTTTTATTGTTAGATTCTTATATTACACTCTTATATTATTTTTAGGATTTTTTGAGTTGAATAGACAAAAGACCCTGTACCTTTAATCTAACAGTT